AGTCGACATTGTGAGTGCATGGAATCACGTCCGGTACCCTTACGAGGGGAGTGTATCAACTTTGGCGTTCGTAATGCCTCTCTACAAAGAAGGGTGTTGCCTTCAAGAGTTAGGTATAAACAGTGGTTTTATACCAGTTTTTTCCAAATTATTTGGGCACTTTAGGAAGGCAACAGTCGTTATTTCAATGAAGCTGTGCTCTTCGAAAGATAGAAACATGTTTTTTTTTCATAGATGTAAATTATAATGAATAATATATTGCGCAGTCAGAGGAGCATAATGCTAATCCAAGTTCTTTTCCCGGATATTCAAGAAGCAATGTAAACTATGGCAGATATCTCATCATTTGAGATCCTGTACTCGAAAGAACTCTATAATCGTTTAGGGGTTTAGGACACTTCACTTAGGAGCTCGTCATCTGTCAGATAGATAAATGGAATTTGGAGATGTCCAAGATGAGTTTTAATGGACATTGAAATCGAATACAGATCATATTTTTATTCTTCTTCGAACATTGCTTCATGAAAAACGACTTTTATCGATCATTCAATCAAACAGTCCACTAATTAGTCGACATATTGTGAGTGTATGGAATCACGTCAGGTACCCTTACGAGGAGAGAGTATCAACTTTGGCGTTCGTAATGCCTCTCTACAAAGGAGGGTGTCGCCTTCAAGAGTTAGGTATGAACAGTGGTTTTATACCAGTTTTTTCCAAATTATTTGTGCACTTCAGGAAAGCAACAGTCGTTATTTCAATGAAGCCGTGCTCTATGAAGTAGACCCATAGATAATCTATCGCGCAATTAGAGAAGCATAATACTAAGCTTAGGTTTTTTCAGGATATTCCAGAAGCAATTTAAACTATGGCAGATATACCAGCATTTCAGAACCAGTGCTCACAAGAACTCTATATTCGTTTGTGACACATCACTTAAGAGCTCAGAATCTGTCAGACAGATTAACGGAATATGGAGATTTCGGCTCGTTTCGGAATCATATCCTCGGGAATAATAGCTATCATTATACGCTCGTTGAAGAATATACTATAATCTACTCACTGCATAGAAAGTTAGCGATGGCTCCCTAATTTGAGGACACAAACCTGTAAATTAACTCCCATGGGAGGAAAAATAATTTGGTTTTAGTATGCTTTCTTGGTAGAGATATACACAGTAGATTTGTGCTACCCAAGTACCTAATCTGTGTGTCCATCACTACTATAAACCGAATAACAATTTCATTTTCCAATGATCTCATACACTTCCTCATATAACACTCAATCGAAACTTTAGATAAAATACGATAATTACATCACAATAAACTAATTCAATGTGACAGAAGTGTCAATGTCAAATTGATTTTCGTTCTGTAACCTTAGATCATGTAAAACCTTGGATCATGTAACACATTGATTTGGATGGAGACTCGAGAGATAGACCGCTTGAAGCACAATTTCAAGAACGACGTTCTCAAATATATGTGTTCGTAGATAAAATCATATACATATCTCTGGAGCAAACGTTTATTTCCTCCCATGTGTGTTTAATACCGCTACGCGTCGGGCATCAAACTTCACAAATGGACACCTTTGGTCCCTTGATATATAAATAGCTATCATTGCATCATAAAATGTCAGTCACAACTTTATTGCACATACCATGAAAATTCACAATCCACTAGACCAAAAATTTAACATGAATTTATTTGTATAGAATAGAGTATTTAATAATAATAACATTTATTGATCCCATACATACAATGTTTTATTAGACATGAATTGAAATAAACCTCACATATCCCATGATGAATTGAAATGATTAGAATTTCAATGCACATGAATAAAAATTGTATACAATAAAATGTTACCTTTATAAATAGTAAAACGGCTTTCCATAATATGCGTCTAGTTTACCAACTAATCAATTATGTAGTTGGTAAAACTTGCATCTAGTCCCTGCACCCTCCACCCAAGAGCAGGTAGGGGAGGTGTACCCAAACGAAAATTACGTCACGGTTGAACACAATGAAATGGAATTATCAGCTCCAACCATGGCGGGTAATGTGAATGAAATATTCCTAATATATTACATACGGTTTGAGTACAGTGTGTCCGTTAAATTGAGTGATCTCGTAAACTAGTGAAAAACTCATTTATGGCCATATACTATATCTTTCTAAGGAATCTCCTAAAACAGTTCGTTTTTCATTTTTTATAAGGAAAACTTGGAAATACAGGCGCCTGTATCACCCGGGTGATTCACGTCGTTTAAAGCCCGTGTCTCACGGTCCAACAATTTGATCAAATTTGTTTGATGTGACGTCATTCTTACCTGTTTGACTCAAACGGTTTGATGTTACAAGAAATCTTTGTCACACGATTTGAAGATTTTTGAACAAAAATATTGGTTAAGTAGGTTTTCTAAAATGGAAAAAATCACAAGGGAAAATTGAATAAAATTCATTACATGGTAAGTATTATGTATTGTATTTGTAATACAAAGTGATTTAGAAATAAGAGGGAGATATGTAGAAGATATTAGCTTCAAAGAAGAAATATTGGTAGATGAGTCCTAGATATGATTTTTGATGGGGTTAGACTGGAAGAAATCCCATAGTGAATTTCAAAACTACCTGATGAGAATTGATGGGAAATGTTTCAGATCTTTATCAATCATATATGCATGTGAACTTATACCTGTAGAAGGTGAGATCATAACAAATTCTCTACTCAACCAAACATAAATTTGGGATTGAAGCAAGACAAAAATACTTCTTGAAATATCCGAAATGGTCCTCAGTCCAATTACCAGGACAGACATTTTTGAAGTGTTGATAATATTAATGATAGTATTTCTTGTTACTTCCTAAGATATAAAATAATAATCAATAATCAATGAAGAAAACATGAAAACAAGCATCCTAACCTTATTGTTTGATCCAACATGACAAATATTAGAACAAGTTCTAAATTTCATCTGCTGTTTGACGTGACGTCACTGATGACATCACAGATCTGTAGTTTGATCAAATTGTTGGACCGTGAGACACAGCCTTAATGTTGAAGCCCATAATGATATGTGCCATTTCAAATATGTTTGTTTTTTTCAGGATCTGTCGTGAGCGTTCTCGCAGATTGATGATTAGGTTTTCTCAATTCAGAATTTCTTTCCACGTCCTGAATGATGAATATCAATTGATCATACATCCAAAAACGAGCAGGATATCAATTCACCACGGTCCACTCCATTACACTCGTTCACGCTGAAAAGTGTAGTGTTCAATCAATGACGGCTAGATATCTAGAGTCTGACGGATGATACATGACTGTCCAATGACTCAGTTCAGTGCATACTCCACCAGAGGGGTTTACTTGCCGTTCCATTGCGGAGAAGTCTATTGTTGTCCGTTATTTTGAGCTTTTATTCAGTTGTTTTCCAATAACATAGTTTTCATTTATTGATTTCCTATCACCAATTGTCGAAAACTGTGACACTGTCAGGTCCCTGTGTTCCGTAAATCGATTTCAAATTCTTTTACTTTTTCGAATTTTCATTCAATCAAGCATTCTTCTTTGTATTTAGTATCTTCCTGAAAATACAAATGAAGAAATAGCACTTGAGAACATCATACATATTATTGAGTAGAGGTATTTCAGATTGTTAAATCTACCATTGCTCTTATTAGGCAGTTAAATATTCAGAATTCAATGAATGAAATTTTGAACATGTCCTAACCTATTCACGAAATGACGAAGATAATTTGCACTTGAATGACATTATAGGTCGCGTGCACGAAGACCGACCCTGGAGGCAAAATACAATGAACTCAATACTTGGCAAAATATTGAAACACAACCTCATTCTTCTGTGAATTATTGAAACACAACCTCACTTTTTTATTTGGTTACAGAGGAATCAAAAGGTTGAAATAGTTTTTCACAATATTTTGGCATACGATTCATGTTTCTTGCGTTATTCATTAATTCAAGCATGCCTTCGCATTGTGCTGTTGTACAATGCACAAAAAATGCAGCAAGAGACTAGGGAATATGATTTTTCAGGTAAATAGTAATCTCACATAGTTAGCATTATGAAATGTTGTCATTCCTTATTAAAATTCCTTCTGCCTTCTGCCACTTCTGCAATACAAGCTAATGCTGCTAATAGATTGAAAATGTCTACAGCACACACGATCGTCAGCATGTCAGACCAGTCCTACCGATTGATTGCATGAATCCGATCTTCTTGCATTGTTCTAGAAATTTCAGGTATATTTCTATTAGCTGATCCTATTGCAGAAGGAACTCCAATGAGAAATCAGAGAAATAACCAAATTTCAAAAATGAAAACTATGTGAGTGACTATTTATAGTAGGTACTTACTTTTGAATCATAATGTACCATCCGGATTTCTTTATCTTCCGCTGCAGTATTTGTGCATTTTACAACAGCACAATGCGATGGCATTAGCGAATTGATGAATAGCGGAAAAATACGATTCATATGCCAAAATAATTGTGGAAAACTATTTCGATCACTTGTAAACAAATATGTTTTGCCTCTATGGTCGGTCATCTGACAGTTCTTGCACGCGACCATTTCACATTTTTTCTTGATATCTCGAACAAAGCTCTCCAAACTCGAATGACAATGAGTGACAGGTTGACAGTGAGAAAATTTGTCAACAAATAATTCAGGTTATGATGAATAGCTCATTTGAAACAGGAAATAGATGACGCCACATGCCGTCCCTGCGAAATTCCATTACAGGGCGATTAAGGCGATTTTCGCTGATTGAACAGTCATGTATAACCCGTCAGACAGTCTATATATCTAGCCGTCATTGGTTCAACATAAATTTCATGCAGAAACAGCGAACAGACCTCTGGTGGAAATAAACTGGTGTGAAAGGCACTTTGCGATATTGGGTGATTGTCAACGTCAGTTGTCAGTTATTGGGTCTTGTCACTCTTGTCTTTTTAGGGAAAAATCAAAAATTTGAGAAACCTGAAAATGTGTGGATTGTGTGGCGGGTTGTTGAATTTGTGAGGTACTTCCACTTATTAATTGTGTGGAAATATTCGAAGAATATTAATTGGGAGTTATTATAAGTCCTCTAGTCATCCCAATTCGTTGTGCTCATTGAAAAAACTAAGAAGACATGGGCAACGTGCACGCTTATTCTGCTACCCCACCTCCACCACCACCTCCAGGAATGAGTTTCCCTAAAGGAAAAGATTGCCCTTCACCCGTAGGTACAGTCCCCGAAGAAGTAATTGAAAATCCTGGACCTCTAGAAGAAATTCACACAAGATGTAAAAGTAATGTGTCCTAACCCTCACTAGTTCATAAAGAATATGTAATAGCACTGTTTCAGATGTATTCCCTACTTGCTTTGAGGGTGCAAGAGTCATGTTAACAAGGGGTCTCAGTAACCATTTCCAGATATCACATACAATAAATATGAGTTCAGTCACTCCAAGTGGTTACAGGTTTGGTGCAACCTATGTAGGAACTAAACAAATTTCACCTAGTGAAGCTTATCCAATCCTGTTGGGAGATGTTGATCCATCTGGAAATCTAAATGCCACAATTATACATCAGCTGCATCCCAAAATTCAAGCCAAATTTGGAGCACAGGTGATGAATTTAACTGAATTATTTTGGCTGCAGGAGGCTTCAGAATAAATTTTTCACAGGTTCAAAACTCAAAGTTTCAAGTGGGACAGTTGACACTAAATTACAAGGGCAGTGATTATACTGCCAGTTGTACAGTAGCAAATCCTGATGTTCTCAATGGTTCTGGAGTTGTTGTACTTCATTATTTACAAGCAGTGACTGCTAGATTGGCTTTAGGCTCAGAACTGGCATATCAAAAAGGTTCAGGCATTCCTGGGGGAGAGGTTGCCTTACTTAGTGCTGCAGCAAAGTTAGTATACAGAAGGGTTGAACATAGTGTATTGAAAAAAATAAAATTCGAAGCCAAAATAAATAGAATATTGTGTTCTGAATTTATAATCATTATTTCTAGATACACAACTGAAAATGTACAAGTTTCTGGGACTGTTGGTGTCTCTGGAATTCATCTATGCTATTATCAAAGAGCTAGCAAACAACTACAGATTGGAGTTGAATTAGAAGCAAATCATCGGATGCAAGAAGCTGTTGCCTCAATAGGTTATCAAGTAGATCTCACTAAAAGTGAGGTAGTGTTCAAAGGTAAAAAATTAAATGTGGAATCAGCTTGATTTCAAATTCCTTGGTGGGGAATTCATGCAGTCTTCAGTAAAAAGAAATGGGTATTTAATTCTAATTCATTGGAAGTTTTTTCTTCAATTTATGTTTTGCTGTTAGGTATGTAATTTGAAAATTAAAACTGATAGGTGCATTATTTCATTCAAAATGATAATTCCTCTGAATCACTTTCTGTTGATAGTCCAGCACTAAAATAACAATTCCACATTCCCAGAATAACCTCTTTTCATTTTTTTTAATCAGGAAGTATAGGCTATTGGATGGCATGGATTGGATAATTGGAAAATAGTGGCCTACTTAATTTCATCAAATAGCTTTTAAACCATTGTTTTTACTTTGTGTGACATAGTTGAGTTTGAAGTTCAAAGGCCAATGTTTCATGCATTCATATTCATCATTTTAGTGAAAATCATTTGGCATAACAAATAGTGTGGATGAACACTGGAAAATATTATTCCTATGTATTCCAAATCATGAAGTGTATTTTGAGATATATTCTGTAAGAGTCATGTCATTATGTTTAGACAATAATTAAATGAAAATGTATCAAGGAATTAGTAAAAGGGTTGGGAAAATTCAAGGATATGGATTCAAGATATATACATTGTGTGAATTCAACCAGCAACACCCTCCTAATTTGAAATCCGTTGACTGATTTTCAAAAACAAAAAAAAAAACTATATAGTTCTCAATGAGCTCTCTTCAAAACTGTAGACAAATCTGAAATATTCAGATTTTCAAAGCCTACTTTATTTGTTTATTGAAAGGGTCAAAATTTCAAAAACACTTAGGCTTTTTTTTTAAACATTATTTTATTTAGGCTAAGCTGAAATATCCCCATACAAAACTTGGTGGCAATATCTCATATAGGGTGTTGGTTATTCAATGAAAAATTTTAATATTTTCGATTTTTTTATTCACCCTGTATCAAAATATATGGAGTTGATATAACCAGTGAAGTATTCATTCAATGGAGGAACACATCGAATACTTAGGTTAGGAAGTTTCATCATTGTAATTTCTACAGGAAGATCTCTCTATAGGTAACCCAAAAATTAATTAAATTGAAGTTGCAACATTTTTTATTGTGATTCATATATTTTTTCCGGGAAATATGAAAAATAGTAACTTAGTTGAGGAAATATTCATTATGTATACATAAAAATATTCGTTGTCATCTCAAATTTTCTTCCAATTCTTTTGTATACAAGCCAAAGCTCTCCTGGTTTCACAAGATCTTGAGTGGTTTACCCCTTTGATGTTCAAAAATTGGATACATCTTTCTCAAGGAAGACACTATAAATCTGATCTGATCACTGTGTGGAGGCAGATAGCCGGAAGGCCACATTCTAAAAATCTAAATTCTCAAGGTTGCAGTTTAGGTCTATTGCATTCTACACTAATTTCAAATAAATGTTCCACATCTGAACTAGCATACATAAAATGATGAATTCACTAATAGCCCTGTCATTGTGACGTCATATGACGTAAAACTGTTGGCCATTGAACAGCATAAACATTTTCCATGAGGGTACAATCTTCTTGCACATTTTCCACTATAATAGAATTCCTGGAGCATTCATTTATTGACATATTTCTTAATTCATTCATCATAATACTGTGAGAAAAGTGAATGAGTCCAATGAAGAGTTCAAATTGGTTTGACAATAAAATTATTGAATTCACTTGAAGTTCAGCTCTCATATATCCTGTAATATACCTTATATATCTCGTTGATAGATACTCAGATTGCAACAACATACGTTTTCTCTCTACAAGTTCAATAAAATCACCAATGGGTCAGAAAGAAGAATCCGAAATCACTCACAGCTTTGTTTTTCCCCGATCAGCTGATGAAAACGACAGTGCGCCATGTTGTAACGTCAGGTGACAGTATGCTCTACTCTGTTACTCCAATATGAATCTCTGTCAGATTGATCCTGTTATAGTATTGATCCCATTATAGTATCAAATTGTTGCTAATTTCAGCCTTTTTCAATTTAACTTCTCAAATTTTAAAGTGAAAATGAAAATTTATTATTGGGTAACTATTCTGGTTCTTGAATAATTTTCTTGAACAATTTTCTTGAACCCACGTGTATCAACCACATCACCATATCTCCTGCAATATTATTATCAGTAATGATTACCTTTTTTATTAACATTTTTATTGTTACTCCATGTATTTTTTTTAGGTCATGTGGATTCAAATTGGTCTGTGGGAGCAGTGTTAGAGAAAAAACTGAGTCCTCTACCTTTTACACTTGCAATAAGTGGGTTGATGAACCACAACAAAAATCAATTCAGGCTTGGCGTGGGAATACTTATCGGTTAAAATACACAGAAATACATTAAACTGAAATTCACTGTCGGACTCATCCATCATTAAAGTTATTACAAAACAGTTCACACGAATTTTTTCAGTATTTTTTTTACACCACACAAACTTTCATTTGTTGTGATTTGAAAAAAATCTCTCCTTGGAAGTGTTCATGTAATAGCTTTACAATATCCCTTTGTTGAACGATCTTGAACATAATCAACATCATGCACTTGTTTGTTTTTATTTGAGTGTGAAAGTTTATTTTAAAATCTGGAATTGTTGATTGTACGGATCACAACTTTTTTGTTACTCTTTTTTTTACAGAGTAGAATATTGTAAATTAGTAGGAAAAATATATTGTTAACAAAATGTAAAGTTTATTATTCACGATCGATTTCGACATGTTCATTGAAAAATTGTCATTTTCTCGGCCTTCCTCCTCCCTTCTTACCGCCAGCCACTTGTTTATCCTTAGATTTATTGCTTAATAAGGGATGCACTTCTGTAAAAAGAATGTTTCCAGGTTTAATCGGCGAAATATACGATCCAAACTAAAGAGAGCATAACACATTTCATACACACTAAAAGAAATCGCTAAAAAAATCAATCAATTCACTTAACACTCATAAATTTATTTCAAACACTTTCAAATATCTAAAATATACTCAAACATATCTAACGCAGGATAAATCTCCAAATAGCAAACTAAACTACTACATTACAAATCGAAAATTAACTATTATTACCTCCATCTGATATATTTTCAAGAGGAATATCATATGATTTATATTTCTTCTTTTTTGGTGGAGGCGGTCCGCTTCCTACGTTCGAAGACACAATATTATCAGTTGGGGCCCAGTTATCTTCTGGATCTTCAATCTAAACAAAAGAACACTACACTGTTTTACCGCTCACCAAAAAATTTGACAAGTATCGCTAATCATCTAGTTGTATTTTGGTATACCTGAATTAAATGTATGCATTAAGCCACTTTTTTCAAAAATCTATATTCCTTTTGTTCAATTACGCCACTACAGTCCATCGACGAGATATTTCCAACTAGCAATTATGTGTTGAAAACAGTAGTTACTTATCAATCCCTCATAATTAGCACAGATTGCTCGACGGAACACGATGTTTTTCAAATTTAGGCAACTAAATTGTTTTCAATTCCCAAAGCTTCTGGCATACTGTATACTCTACTTGTTTTTGTAATTTCAGAATAGGATCGATAGGTACATATTTTAAATATTCTCTTGAAGATTCTCAACTTAGCGAGGTACGTGTCGAGGTGTCAAAAATTGGTTAGTGATCAATGCCAATCATCACGCCATGCAAAAGGTACCATTCTTTGTAGCATGAAAAAATGTATTCAAAACTGATCTTATTTCTCAAAAAAATCAATGAGAGCATAACCACATGGTAAAAATCATAGACCAATGGGATAATTGGTCAATGGTTTAAACTAATTTCCAATGTAAAGGTGTTCTGAGATGTTCACAATACATATATCGTATCGTACACAGATTGTTCATCGAATTATAGTATTAAGATGACATTTGGCAACATCACAGTCAGGCAGAGCATCGCTCACTGTTAGCTGGGAGCATAATGAATGGGCTAGTGGACAATTTTTCTATATTTTTTAAATAGAATCATCACTCGATCACCTTTCAATTCCATATTTTCTGATTTTTTTTTGGTCAATTTTAAGGTGCGTCAAGATATCGTAAGCAGGGGCAGTCCATAGCACAGTTGCCATATATGTTGAAATACGAATGGGAACTTTAGAAATATTATTTATATAATTCATTAATAATTATGTATTAGTAATATCCTTGATAAACTATAAAAGTCCATTGTCTCGTAATTATAGTCCCTTTTATATGTGTGTCTTATGGCTTATGATGAATTTGTGTTAATAATGATATTCATTCACACTAGAAGACATTTGGTCCGGTAAACGTGACAACACAGGACTGTGGGAGTTGTCTTGTCAGATCTCAGCATTCAGTACAGCATTGCCAAGTCTATAGCCAATATTTACATGTTTTGTTATGGAGTATTAGAAATATTTCGGAACTCTGGTTGCTCGAAACAGTCACAAATTAATAACTAGGTATAATATCATGACTTCCTTCCTATTAGGTGAAATGAAATATTTTGTTTGGATGTAAATTTATTCAACGATACTTTATGAGTGCGAATGGAACGAGGAATAGAAGATTATCCGACCACTGATGAAACAGCACGAGATCTGACGTCACCATATAACCGACGTATCCCAGAACATGGCCAAATAGCGGCCATGACGGCACGTTTGAAATGAGTTTTGAAATCCAACAATTTAACATTATTAACATAAAAAACGCGTAAGAAGTGCGGCAAAAATTAATGTAGGTTTGTATAGACACAGTAGTACGTGTAGTAATTGAATGCCCATTATTCATTACCAGTCCACTTCAGTTTCAATTATGTTCCGCTTATCCAGCGGGGAATGGCGGAAACGATAGCCGGATCATGTTGCCATTCACATTCCCTGTATGTAACGATTTGGGAAACAATCTGTATAATTGCATTGGATGGATCACGATCAAATTGTGAAATGAAAGATTTACTAAGGGGCGATTCAATCTAATGACAACGGGTGCCTTAGCTGATGGGTTAGGAGAGAAGATTCCTCGATAAGTTAATCGAAGGTTTATGCAACCGTCTCCGATAGTTTCTTCGAATATCATCTAGGTATATATATATATATAAATGAATGTTTTGTCTGTTTGTGTTTTTGTTATTGTCAGGAAAAGGTTCTTATGAGAGAAAATTGAGAAATTCAAGATGGCGGATCCAATATGGCGGAAGAGATGTAATTATAATCCGATTCTATTCAAAATCCGTATCTAGGGGTTTTTGAGGTCGAAGATTATGATTCTTTCCTCAAAATTTCAAAATTCAAGACCGCGGATCCAATATGGCGAGTTTCATAATTATGATCTGATTCTATTCAAAATTGGTATCTGGGTGTTTTTGAGATCGGAGATTATGATTCTTTCCTCAAAATTTGAAAATTCAAGATGGCGGATCCAATATGTCGAACGAACTCTTTAAGAAATAGTGTTTCGAAAAACTAATAAAAAACGCTTTCATAGATGGCCAAACTAAAAAGTAGAAAATAAATAGTTTAAAAAACTATAGAGATAGATTACCGAACTGGTAAGAAGTAGAAAATTTATAGTTAGTCAAACTAAACAGAAGTAGAAAATAGAAAGTGCGTTGTTATATATTTGATTGAAAAAATCTTTTCTAGAAATAATGTACATAGATAAAGTCCGTTTATCGTGTCAGAAATTTCTAAGCTATAATCAATAAAATAACTGGAAATAAATTCAATATTTGTGTACTGTCTTTCCTTCAATTTTTTTAGTAAGTAGCATAGCAACGCGCGCAAGGTACAGCTAGTAGCATATACAAATAAGATATATAATAGGTACCTCAGGTGCCGTAGGCAGAAACTGCAAACAATCAGAGTTCTCATTTTCTTCATCAGAACTACAAAATGCAGCTACTGGGTCCACTGCACAGACATCCACCTAAAGAAGGAAAAAATTGCATTTATCAAATACGAATCGTCCGGAATTTCATAGTGAAGAGGTCTTCTCAAAATAACAGAGAAATAAAATTAACTGCTTATCGAGGTGAACTGACCTCCAAATCCGTTTCTTCCTTGTCATCGCCTCCACTTGCAACAGATTTGTCTTCATCTGCCAAATCAAACTCACTTTCCCTTTCTTCATATTCGACATTTTCGTCCAATTCTTTGAAATCTGGCGCGAAAGCTGACCAATTCTCGACTTGGTTTTGAGCCCAAACACTCACCACACCTTAAAATCAGTGGTTAAATTGGAAAAATAATCATAAAATTCAATTTTAAATTCCACCTGATGATATACTTGAAATAATTGGTCGAACTGGATGCCAAGCTACATCTAACAGCAATTCTCCTTTTGTGCCATGAAGAATTTTGACCAAATTTCCAATAGATTTCTCCCAAATATAAAGAGCATGTTGTCGGGTAGAACCAGCACAAATATATTCCCCATCACCAGAAAAACAACATTTTTTCCACATGGTTCTTGAAAGAAAAATATATCATCAATATCAATGTATTACTCTGGAAATTTCCTAATTCAAATTATACACAAAATTATGAAGAAAATAATTTTTAGAAGTTCAATCAATCAATATGGTGTTTTGATCAGATCAAATGCTGATATTTCTAATGCGATATTTTAGGTACAACTTACACTTTGAAAGATAACATTAAAATCAGTTTGAAAGTGATCCAACTTTATAGGGAGACCAACTTCTAGTGGCCGTTTTTTTATTCAAATCAGTAAAAGGAAACGCGTAATTTTTCGTAACAATGGTATTTTTCGGGACGAGCGTTATGAACAAATCAAAATGTAGCCTTCAAAACTCATTTTGATGAACAACCCTAATTGTAATTATAAGATAAAAACAAAAACGTCTCACTTGTTGACTAAGTCTTGTAATTTTTGCATTGGTTCTGGTTCCCCATCTTTCCCATAGGTCAAAATCTCTTTGCTGTCGTACACCCTGATCACTCTGTCAGCCGTGTTTATCAAAAAATTACTGAAACAACATCACTATAGAACCATGCAAATGTTGTATGATTCGAATTTCAACTCACTCCCCTCTCCTCGCAAATTCGATACTTCTTACAGCAGTGGCACTGGAAGACCCCAACATTACCCTAAAGCTAGCTTTTACCTCCAAAGTATGTGAGTCCAGTACCAGAACTTTCCCTTTAGCATTTCCCGTGTAAACGTAGTCACCTCTTCTATCGAATGATGCTACAATATTGAGATCGCCCTAGGAATAGAAACAAATCCAAATCTCAAGTCAATTTTCTGTAGGCTGTAGGAAACACTTAAGAAATGATATAGTACATAACAAACCCGTTATTACGCACAAACAAACTTACTTTACAGTGTAAAATAAGTTATTTTCCTCCCATTGAGATATTTTTCAACTGGAGTTATCAATGATAAACCACGTTATCATTTATATTCTTCCATTGATGAACTGATTCCGAGTATAAGAATTTGGCAAATATTGCCCAATTTTGCCTCAATAAAATGTGGTGGAAAATAAAACAAAGGAACACTTTCTTGGAGTTTATTTTTCAAATTATTTCATTTAGACCAGGAGATGGTAACAGGTGACGTTGCAAAAACACTTACTTTATCAACTTTCATCATGCATGCCTCTATTTTGCAAAATCCTGGAGTGCATACCAAATTACCTACTATTAATTAATTATACAAATGAAGTATATTTCTAATGGCATGCAGTTTGGAATCACGAGCGACCTGTATTACATTTTTACAGTTCTCCCGAAATTTTCCAAAGTTGGTCAGACAAGGGGCGCATGCCAATTTTTCCAGAGTGTTTTTGTTACTAAAACTTCAATTCTTTATATGGGCATGCAATTTCAGAACACGGAAGTCCCCTTTAATCTTCTTCAGTTTTTCGTAACCATTTTGGGCCCTTTTCGGCCGCTGCGGATTGCATGCCATCAATTATAGGCGCTTCAGTCTGTTTGAAGTTCCGTATATAACAATGGCAGGCAGTATTATTTCGCGGAAAAACACGAAAATTCTTGACAAAAAGAATAGCGCTTTTCCTTATGTAGTACTCACGTGCGGGGGCTAGGAACCCGTCTCTTGTTCATATTCTGGGGTTAAATGAGCTCTTCTCTACCTTGAAAAAGAAAGAGGAAAGTTCTCTCCTCTTCCATCTTTCTCTCCAATGCTACCAACGTGACCGCATTGAAATATAGAGATCCGATAAATCTTTCCTTGTCTAACATCTTATCTGCCCCAATGGACTATTTTTGATGTTATTGATGTGGTACGTCTATGTCATGAATGATGATAACCTCTCTAATTTTTAAAATAAACTTTCAAATATATCATACTTATTTTGATATCATTTGTTAATATCGTTAAATTTGACACTGCTGAATTCAAAAATAGTTCAGTGGCACAAACTAGATGTTAGACTAGGAAAGATTTATCGGACCTCTCTATAATTCAATGCGGCCACGTTGGTAGCATTGAAGAGAAAGATGGAAAAGGAGGGAACTTTCGTCTCTCTCGTTCAAGATAGAAAAGACCTCAATTATAAAGCCTTAAAAAGGCACCTGTCACCATCTCCTGGTCTAATTGCTTACTCACGGTTGAACGACAATTTCTCAGGTAGTCAGAGTAGATAGTAGGAGTCCTACTAACGATGAGGGAGTAAGTAATCACATGGAAAGTTTGGTATACAGGCTCGAGGATGTTGGGGGCAGTTCCAGAGAATTTGAGGAAGTTTAAACCCTTTAACGCCCAAAATTTTTCATTAAGATATACATATATGTTGTTTTTAGGATAAAAGTAAATACCTTTATATGATATATTGGTTGTGGATCCATTTTGATCTTTTTCAATGTTTAAATATTTAGAAAAAACAATGGTAAACCGTTTTACGCGGACCTTTACGACTCACTTAGACTTGTGATGCTTAATGGTATGTTCATAACAATATGTGGAAGTCGGAAATAACAATAAAAATAGTATATTACGTAATATGTGTCGTAAGAAGCATATTACGCACGAATGGAAAAGTTACGCACGTAGCCTCGAGTGCGTTATTCCATGAGTAATTGCTTTACAACACGCATTACGTACTATACTTTATTTACAACCATATATGTAATGTTGTCATTACTAACGTCATTGAAGGTTGGGATTGTTGGGAAGTGTCACATTACACACCTCTACTTCCCGCCCTTCACTACTTCCCGCCTCACTCAGAACGAAACATAGATTTATTAGTTTTGATCGAAATATGATGGTTGTAAATAAAATAGTATACAAACCTCGGTAAGGAGTTTCATTCCTGTCTCGAGATTATAGCTAACCTCGACGCTTTGCGTCTCGGTTAACCAACTAATCTCACGACAGGAATGAATCACTTCCCACCTCGGTGTGTAATATACTATTACCTACTGCCATATTAGTTCAAGCAACGAACGCTCAAAAAAAGGTATAGAGGGAAAGTCTTGGAACACAATTTTTGACTTTGTAACTTTGTTTGGACTAGTAAGAAGATGAACATATCAAAAGTCCCCGCCCGTAGCCCTTGAGCCAGATGGGTGGGGGGGATTCATAAGGCCCATTTTTCGGTTTTTTGCTTGTATTTCGAAAAGTATGCGTCCCATCGACATGACCACTCCATACAAAATGGAAGCAGATTGAATTTGCAACAAGTTTTATTCTGTAACATTTTTCGATATCTTATATAGTTTTCAAGATATCCACTCTTGAAAGTCTGTGATTTTGAAAAAAAAATGTTTTCTTCACGTTTCTGCTCTTCTTGACCGGATGACTCTTCAACGATCCACCGAAAAAGTGAATGCTGCCGATTGGTTCATGAAGCAATGAATTCTTCTCGATAATAAATAATATAAATTATAAATAATGAATATCATTAGAAGGTATACCCGAAATGAGGTATCGTGCAATGGAATGTTATGCAGCAATCTCTCGACAAATAATTCTTGTGGTGAGGATTGCTTCCTCTTTATCAGGACAGGCATTAACTAGCCCTATTCAGTGAGAGTGAGATGAATAAATCGACCAAGTCAGTGCTGTACAAACTATTCAACACTACGACCAAGGATATACATGTCGCACAGCTACACATCGTATTTGACGGAGGACACCTCCTCCATAAAGTAATTTGCAAAGAGGTGCCAATATATCGACAATCTGCGAGAGTTACATCCAATTCATCAAGTAGAACTACCACGGAAAAATATGTACTGTAGTCTTTGATGGCTATTCCTCATCAACCTCAAGCATAAAAGTAGCAGAGCAGTAGATGCGCTATACACTCAGGAAGTCTGCTGACATCACATCCATTTCACCGAAGACACGGAGATAAACGTCAAACAAAAAGATTTGTTGTCGATCAAATTTCAACGAAAGCAGGTTGAGGACAATGGGATCAGGGCAGATCAAGCTGAAAGTGATGCCGACGTTCTGATTGTGGATACGGCTGTGAAAATATCGGAAACAACAGCTGTCGGCATTGTGAGTGAAGATGTCGACCTCATAGTCCTCTTGATGGCTGAAGCTCATGCGCATAATGAAATTATATTTATTTCATTAAGCCTGGACGTGGGGAGACAAGGGATTCCTTATTCTCGTCCCAAGGGCTTCAGCAACAAGGTTTCAAGGACGTGCTATTTTTGCACGCATTTACTGGATACGACACAACATCTTCCGCTTTCCGAAAAAGCAAGGTCGCATTCGCGGAGTTGTATTTGAAGTCTCGAGAGGTCCAGAAAGCAGCAGCGGTCTTTTCAAACCCTTCCTCCACCACCGCCCAAGTACAAGAGGCAGGTGAAACCTGCATCTTGAGATGGTATGGGGCTCGAGATAAAGAGGTCTCCCTTAATGCCTTCAGGTACAACTCGTTCTTGAAATCGGTGGTCATCATCAAGCCTGATATCTCTTCTCTTCCTCCCAGCGAGGGAGCAACATAACAGCATTCCCTCCGAACATTCCACCACGTTCAGGTGTGGCTGGGAAATCACCTGCCTTCTCAGATGCATGGGTGGAAGATTGAGGACAACTGCTTGGTCCCAGTGTCCCAGTACATAGTGAGTTAGCAGCTGCACCGGACGATATTCTGAAAATGAGTTTCTGCCATGCACGAGAGACTGTTCCAGCGCAAAGTGTGACTGCAAAAAAGCAAGCCTCAAATGTTCTCTGGCATGCCAAAATTACCAGGGAACTGCCTGTATGGCCTCAAGTGGACTCTGAAGATAAGGAAGAACAGGATAGTCCTCTGACCGTTTCCCTACAAGAAGATGAGAACGAAGACGAGGGTCGAGGTCTTTTCCCATCAAGATACTGAATGGTACCTACTGTTGTGATGTTTCATCTTGTTTTACTCTTCGAAGTCAATAAACTTGGTTTCAACTTGATGGTTGAATAGAACTTATAGACACTCATATATGCACAAACATGGTCATAGCATTAAATTTTCTCATTAAAATGGTCTATTTTGATTAAGTGTAAGAAATCTGGTGAGCGGGCCTACAAGCATTCATATTTCAGAAGAAGTATATGTACTATTTAGACGTTCAGTACTGAATATGTTCACATAATGGTGCATATCTCGATCAATACGTTAACCGGGAATGGTGAGTAATTGATAAATTGCTTATTAGTCGAGAGATGTCGTGAAGCTTCAAATTTCATGCTAAACATTCAAACTGATTCAACATTTGAAGGACAATAGATAAAAGAGTAAAACAATATGTATTACTGAAGATAATTCATTGTTCTACAACCCTATGGCCAGTATATACTTTTTAGGTGCATCGTTGAAGAGTTATCCGGTCAAAACGAGCAGAAGAGTGAAGCAAAAATTTTCTTTTTTGAAATTGACTCAAAAGAGTGGATATCTCGAAAACGATACAAGATATCGAAAAACTTGACAGGACAAAATTTGTTGAAAATTAAATTTGCTTCCATTTTGTATAGCATGGTCATATCGATAGGACGCATAGTTTTTTAAATATAAGCAAAAAACCGAAAAATAAGCCCTTCAAACCCCCTCCACCCATCCGGCTCAAGGGCTGCGGGCGGGGACTTTTGATATGTTCACCTTCTAACTAGCCCAAACAAAGTCACAAAGTCAAAAATCGTGTTCTATGCATTTCCTTCTATACCTTTTCGTTGCCTGGGCTATATAGTACATCAAGAAAATTTGGACAAACAGTCTGAATTATAATTCTTGACAGTTATGTCATCCGCTGTTGACGGCGATTACGCGATCATGACTGGCGGAATAAACGAAAACTGTGCGATGTGTTTACCGTGCGTAAGGAGCTACTTACTGAGGCTGTATCTCGTGTGTTTTTGCCGACTTTCTATAATGGCCGTAGGTAAAAATATTTTCATTCAGAAATGTTTATTGAGGAATAATTATGATAAAATAGTACTCATGTATGATACGTGAATTTCCATAACTAAATCAACTGATAATTTTACTATACCAATATACACTGACCAAATTATTTGACACACAAATTCATAAAATAATGTGAATAATTCAAAATATTGCGTGAAAGTTGTTCCCGAAGAGGAATGATGATTTTTTAATGTGTCACAAATGCCCGTTGGTAGCTTATTCGACCAAACGCTCGTGTACTACCAACTGTAATACAAACTATGCATTACTACCATTGAGGTCGACGTTTGACTTCAAATCAGCCTGAGTTTTACTCTTAATGTTCAATGGTACAATTGTGTACCAGGTCAGCGTTGAAGGGTTAAGGGGTCATTATTATCAAAAAAATTATAAAAGGAAATTATATATATATATGTTTTGGAATGCGGGAATGTTTTGTTATGTGAATGCAATGGCCAGATTAGTCACTGTCCCGTTAACAACACATTTTTGACGTAATTACTCCCAATATTCAATCACTTCATTGAATAAGAGATGATACAACTAAAAAAACAGCTCTCATTATCAACAAGATAGCTCCAAGATTCTGAGAAAGTTCAGGAAGTTCGGAGAAGTCTGAGGAAGTTTGGGTAAGTTCAAGAAAGTTTGAGGAAGTTTGGGGTATATTCAGATTTATGATTACTATGTCACTTACATCTTCATCTATAGGTAGAACTTGATGTTTCCCATTAGTGTCCACTAATACTGCTGCGTGTTTCATGGGGCAGATCAACAATCTCTCCATGCTCCTTGGTTCGAACTGTACCTTCAATACTGGACAAGGAAACCTGTATTTTTGTTCACATTCTCCGGTGAGCACGGACCATATGCACACGGTATTATCGGTGGAGGCAGAAGCAATTTTATGGCCATTTCTCGACCAACTGACACTGCAAACTGGATGAACGTGGGCAGATATGATTTTCGCAATGCCGCGAGTCAAAAAATCCCAAATTACGATACGTCCATCGTTACAACCTACTGCCAGAAGGGTGCCCCTTTTGTTGAATGCTAATGTTACAGCAATGGACAGAGAATCTAGAGTTCCGTCAAATTCCTAAAATGTATGTTTAAGTAGAGGATCCGAAGTAAGGTCGACCTGCACCCATCTGGTTAATGGATGAAAATTATTAAGTAATTTAGCATGTTAAAAATTGGAGAATCACTTTTTTTTTCAATTTCGAAAAATTAATGAAAACATTTTACACCAACCGTAAGTACAAAGCCTACAGAATATGCAAACATAGTGTTGCCTATAATTTTCCCGGTGTAACTATTGGGTTGCCAGGTAATAGCTATTTATATATCAAGAGAGGAAAGGTATCCATTTCCTCCCGCGTGTGAAGTTTGAAGTACGACACGTAGCGGATGGCATTAAACACACATGAGAGGAAATGAACCTTTGCTCCCATGATATATATATGATTTTGTCAACGAACGCATTTTTTTAATGCATCATACTGGAAATTGTGCTTCAGGCGGTCTATCTCTCGATTCAAATCATTATGCATTAGGAAGGTACAGTATGCCATGGACAATTGACGGCATTTGAACGTGAGTCAATTATTTGACACTTCTGTCATCATGAATTAATCGATTTGTATATTGTGTCACTGCACCTGAAAGTTTTGATAAGAAGTACGTTCGGAATATGACGAAGCATATGATATCAAATTGACAACTTTGTTTTCCGTAAATGAGAAAGCAAACGCCTACTTTCGATTCAGTGAGTAGATAAAAACAGTTATTTTGATCCTAGTTATTTTCACTCACTTGTTAAATCTATCATAAATTAAACATAAAAATAAGCGCTGTTTTCTAGTGAACACAATGATAAAGGGTTGTCCGCAAGGACCTACATTCAAACGGCTCTAGCGATCTTAGGAAGCATTTTCGGACAAATGTCGATAGGAACATTTTTCTCATTTTCATAGCAACCATTTTTCTTATTTTCATCTGAAGAATTACCTCCCGGAGTAAACGAACGGTATTCTGAGACACCCCGTATATCAACTTACTACTATACAGTATATCTGAAAAAGTTGGCAACAAATGGAAACATTTTTTTTGTTGATTTTAGGAAAAAAGTGATTAATCATAAAAAGTTTTAAAACCGAAAATGCGAATATCAGATATCGAATTTTTTCAGTCGAATTCCTAAGTGAGAAAAGTTGACTAGAATTGAAACCTAAGGTTGAATAATCAATTACATCTATCTATGATCATGTTACATTATTTTTTACAATTTCTTATCCATTCATGCATGTTGTAAAGTAATTACGCATATGCTTCTTACAACTTTTGTTTCATGATATACTATCAAAGAGATATTAGCAAAAATGTGTTAAAACGGTGATTTGAATTCCATGTTTGACAAATGATATGAATATGTATAAATTGACAGGTGACTATCTTTATTTAATTTTTGTGATGTTAGATTGTCACCTAGCAATTTATATATGAGGTGTTTTTGAAATAATTAATATATTCATTTTAATAAAGAGAAATTTCATCCCAAAAATTGAACAAAAAATGGAAAAAAATCAAGCACGCCAATTTGAAACAATTGAAATGATTCAACTGCATGCCAGTGTGCCTTCCGCAAAGGAGTTGAAACAGAGGTGAAGTCAGCATTGCTACAGTGTGAAAATTTTGGTGGAAAAATGGTCTTCAATCATGTTATTTGTCAAATATGTCATTTAAATTCATTCAAAGCACAGTGTAACAATACACAGGAGATGAATGAGCTGTTTTTTCCTGTGAATATTAATTTTAACTATGAATCAGTTGGGTGAATTACCCTGTTATTTGACTGAACCTGTATTCATCTTGATTTTATTGATTTTAGTCATGTACCAGATACCTACAAAGTTACAAGAAAAAAATAGATGCAAGGCATACTCAAAACTCTTCTATGGTAGGTAGAATAGACAAGATGAAGTTAGTATATTGCTCCATATATTATTGTTGAAGGATGAGGTATTAATGATTTATTTAGATATCAATGTCTTTTAAACATCTGGTGAAAATTCTTCAAAATCTCTGAAGTGTGAGTTGTTTCACAAGAAGTAAATAAATATTGTTTCAAATGGTTAGTTTTTTGCTTCATCTGTATAAAAAATTTATGCTGAAATCTTTTTCCTACCATGCCTACTGCTTGAGAGGTAATGAATATTTGAAAGACTTTGAATAATTACTCAAATTACTAAATTCAAAATAGAAAAATAATGAAAAAGAATCTCGAGAAGAATAAATACATATGAAAATCCTATAACTTTTAGAAGTTTTCAATGAGATTCACATTCTTCTTAGCCAATATTAATCTATAAATATGCCAACCAAAGAAGCTTCAACACTTTAAAACAACATGCATGGTTGCTGTTGATATATTCACCTCTGGGTAGTTCTGTCCAAATGATTCTGAAAAAAAAACATGTTTGAATAGTAGTTGGAGAACCTGTGTTGTATAAAATAAAAGATTTTTGTATACACTTATAGTAATAGGAATTTGCAGCCCAGTAATTTTGCATCTTCTGACAATTTTTCAGCACTTGAATTCTAGACATTTTGCAGAAACCAAATCAGAAATATTCCATATTTCTTAGATAGGTTTGCAAGATCTAAACTAACCCAATTTGAAATGAACAGAAAACAAGACAAATAAAAACACCTCTTCTGACTTATAAACTTCTAATTAGATGTCACAACCAGGCACAAAAATATTATTTATTAATCATTATAAAAACTAGCTGAAAATGAATATTTTCCAGCAGGATTTTTTCAAAAAAATAAAAAGCTTATTAGTGGCAAAAAAGACCTCTTATATCACTGATTGAAAATATATTGAAAATATATTTTGAACTGCATTTATTAATGATGAATGCATGCACAACTCAGCTAAAGTACTAACTATAGAACAGATAATTTCAGATATCTATTATAATGTATAACTCTTAATGTATGGGAAATGTAGAAGTGAAATTGAGATAGATACTTGTAATAACATCACCTGATTTAATGCCCTATGGCTAAATGAATTCCCAAAGTTTATTTTAAGTTTGAAATTGAACACACATAATTGGATGAATGCTATACAAACCTAGTAATTCGAGATTCATTTTCAATACTTCAGATATCTGTATGATTATTGGACTATTAGAGATCACATTTAATCCAATCCCTTGATTTACAAATCATAGAGTATTTTTATTGTGAGCTGGTGAGCATCATCCGAGAATTCAGGATCTTCAGAATCAGAACTCCAAATCCAATCCACCTAATAAATTTTCATGGGTCTTGGAGAGCCATCTGCTTTAGAACTTTCTAGTTCTGGGTTCAAGCATTGTTCTAGTAAGGAATAGAAAAACTGGATTACATTTGTATCATATTAAAAACCTATACAAAACAAAATAATTTGATAACCACAGTCTATAAACATCACGATAAACATAAAAAATGTCAACACTCACATTCAACATAACCTCATTTATTCATTTTGGGTTGGGTATGTTCCGTAAATCAACTCGAACTTACAACTTGGTCAATGACGGCTAGACATCTAGATTGTCTGATGGGTTATACCGTCAGAGAGTCTAGATATCTAGTCGTCATCATGTGTTAAACAGAGGTAAATACAGGGTGTCCCAAAATTGCTGGGACACAGAGCTACCACGTATAGAGGAGGTCAAAATGAGTTGATTGGACCCAATTCATTTATGTGCCAAAATGTACCGTTTGTCCGTGAGAAGGGTTCAAAGTTCACTTGAAAAAACACATTTTTGTACGCTGTTCAGAAATAAGTGGAACGAATTTGATGAAATTTGGCAATAGTGTATTTCAGAGGATTACTTTCCTTTTGGTAATCTAAGAAACCTAAAAGAAATTGTAGAAGGGTTGAAACCACCCTCACCCCCTGACGTTTTCTTCAGAACTTTTTTAAGGGTCATGATACGGTTCTGAAATTTTTTGAGCTTGAAGACACATCAATTACCTTCATTTTATCACTCTTGTGAAAATTTCGTATACCAAATAGTTTCGAAGAAAAAAAATGTTCTCTCAAATAATGCTACCAGATATTCCTATAGTACAAGTTTAATTAAATTGTGATATAAAACTTAGTTCGCAGTGGAAACGAAGGCAAGTCGTGATTTCGACAGGAAACAAATTTATTGTCATTCAAGTTTGTTGTTGACGTTGTCTGTAAATGTTTCAATAAATTCTTCAATTTTGTTATTACCGCGGGTACCATTACTATAGGAATATCTGGTAGCATTATTTGAGAGAACATTTTTTTTCTTCGAAACTATTTGGTATACGAAATTTTCACAAGAGTGATAAAATGAAGGTAATTGATGTGTCTTCAAGCTCAAAAAATTTCAGAACCGTATCATGACCCTTAAAAAAGTTCTGAAGAAAACGTCAGGGGGTGAGGGTGGTTTCAACCCTTCTACAATTTCTTTTAGGTTTCTTAGATTACCAAAAGGAAAGTAATCCTCTGAAATACACTATTGCCAAATTTCATCAAATTCGTTCCACTTATTCCTGAACAGCGTACAAAAATGTGTTTTTTCATGTGAACTTTGAACCCTTCTCACGGACAAACGGTACATTTTGGCACATAAATAAATTGGGTCCAATCAACTTATTATGACCTCCTCTACACGTGGTAGCTCTGTGTCCCAGCAATTTTGGGACACCCTGTATATTATCATCCCAGATTTTTTTGTGATTTTCTCTCCTCGTTTCTATGAAATAAAAATATGAATATTATTTCAATATACGTGTAGTAAGGACAAATCAGATGATTCACCCCAAAATGTCACTGCGTTTGAAGAATTTTCCAATCAGAGAGCCTAAAGAAAAATTCGCCACCTTGTCAATGACAATTTGTATTGAGTTTGGAGAAGAGAAATAAAGGTAAATAGAAAAATATGAAATTTTCACTTAGCTTTGAACGTTTCGGGGACGAATCTGCTTTCAACATAAAAAGTGGATTTTTGTATCGCAAATTCGTATTTATCCTCAGTGGAAAAAAATCCACCAGTTCTTACCAATGATGGAATTCGCTATTAATGTTAGTATTTTTTTTCACTCAATTTTTCAAAAATATAATTCTTAGCTTTGAGTATTCACACTAGTGTATATAATCAAGGTTCTTAGGAAAAATGTCAATTTAGGACAAGTTAGGTTGACAGTACTTTCCTTTTTCATGCAGAAGGGATATTTTCTTTCCTCATATACACAGATAAACACGAACAACCTTCTGATAACCTTGAGGTACGAAGTTCCGATTGATTCCTTTACTGATGTCAATTAATATTATTCGATATATTTTCAGTATGATGACTTTTTTATTTCAGGAAACTACATCCTTTGCTTGTGCTAACTTTACACTAGAATCAGGGACTTTTGGATACAATAATTGAAAATCAGATAGTGGCAGGGCATGAACATGAATGTTTAAAAAACGATCAAAAATATAATTTGACTTATGACTGGCATTCCGTAAATGAACCTCATCCGTTGTCAGCAGTAGATAAGGTAGATAGATGTAGATAGATAGATGTCGCGTGGATGTCGTACTGTCAAAATTGTTGGTATCAGCCCTGAAAGCATTGATAACCTCGGTTGATTAACGGAACTTTGTTTGGTCAGAGGTTTGAAATTGTATTTTCTCATTTTCTCAATCAAATCAATGGTTTATGTTGAGTTTAGTGGAGTGGATGGAATGTGGTGAATTCCGAATTGATATCCTGGTTCGTTGCTTGTGGTGTGCAGTAGAATTTCGCGTATTTTCATTGCATCGTAAAAACTCTTTGTACCTGAAAAAAATGGACAGTGAAATCATTGACAGTTTCTTGATGGTGAATGAATTACTAATTCTCCTGACGAGGATCAATCAATGTAATCTGTTTTAAAAGTAGTGGTACATTTCACTTGGTTTTAGTACAATTCAATAGTGATTTCAGTACAATTAGGTTTTTTCCTGGCAACACTGTCCCATCTGATTATGTTCTTTTTTACTCCACATTTTTATCATAGAAGGAAGTGACGTCACTCTCTGATGCACCGAATTGCTGGAGGGTGGAGGCATCAGTGTTGAAAGAAAAAGGCAGTCAAGTACTTTTCTTTTCGTGATCTGATGGAGATTTAGATCGTTATCCAGAATTGGCGAAAACTAATGTAAAATGGAAAATGATTGGGGAGTATACCAGTTGGGTTGAAAATTCTCAACAACCGATATAAAAAACATTACATTAAATTATGATATGGATAGTCAATAAGAATTCTCTGTTGGTACTCAAGTTTCCTGAATGTTTGCACTAATTTCTTGAAATTCATGATGGAAAAGTAAAAAGTAACTACCAATGAAAATTTCTTCAATTTCTGTTGATGTCAAATCCCCCAAAGAATATATTATGATTTCAGTTGGTGGGTTGATGATTGATGGAGCCACAGAATGTCCCTTATGTCATTTTTTATTGGGACATTTGAAAAAGTTGCATCTTGAATAGGACCAAGGAAAACATTTATGAACAAAACATATATTTAATCACAAATGGAACTTTCTTCTACTAGTCTCCATGGCATGACGTTTTCCATCCATTATCCATTCATACTGACCAAATTTACTGTCAAAAGTTCCTTTTTGTAGTGATTTCAACTTCAAAGTGAACCTAGGTCCCAATTCTTTCAACCTTGCTTTTTTTCCTTCTGAATCGAATCCATATCTAAAAGTTGAAGAAATATGTTAAATTTTTGAAAAATTCACAGGAAATTAATGAAAATCACAGAAAAAAATATCTAGTTTTTTACTATCTTCAAATCATCATTCTAGATTGTTTTGTTTCATTTGAAGTTTCCAAGAAGGTTACTAATAGCATTTTTCCAAAAATTTGAGAAAAGCTATGTAATTTGTGCACTGCATTTGCTATAGTTTCTAAAATATTTTTTTGTTAATAATTGGTACCTGTAGTGCCTGAAGAAGATGTAGTCACGTTGATTATGGAATGTGACTGCTCTCTGGCCCTCAAATTCAGGATCATAATGAAATATTGCTCCCAGCATACGCCCAACTGTTAGACCCAGTCTTGTCCCAAAATTGTTCAAAATAACTTCAGGCCGATGAGCTGTAATATCTTTATGATTCTTTCTTAGCTCTGTAGTGATTTTGACATTGCTTACACGAAAGTGAGCAGTAGGGCCATTTGGTAAATGGATTAAAAGGAGTCCATCTGGTTCCTTTCTATTCTCATTAACAACAAGTACATCTGTATACTCCTTCTTTATAGCACTTTTCACAATTTTTTTGACCCCTGATCTGTTTCTGTAGAGAGACACAGAATTTGGGATGATTCTTGTCAATTCTCTTCCAAAAATTCTTGTTTTCTGTAATAATTCAGGGCTATTACATAACTTGAGAAACTTGATGATGAGAAACAAACAAGTTAAAAATAGAATGTCTTACCCTCATTGGATTGTCAGCATAGGTAATGAGTACTTTAGGCTCATAAGATTGTTTGTAATAGTCACAGAATTCATCTTGTTCCAAATCATCTCTTACCAACTCATTTTCATCTGTAGTTAGATCTGAGACTGTTGTTTCATCTTTTTCCCTTAAACTTTCTATAGTATGGGGAATTCGTTTGATATCTCCCTCTTGTTCCCGAACTTTTTTTGCTTCTTTCTTGACCTGAAATAATTGATGAGAAACATAATGAGTATTATACATGAATGCAGGTTTTATCAATCTAATACTTACTTTCTTACGTTCTCTCTTGATTTTTTGATATTGTTGACTTCTAACTTGTTTATTCTTGATATTAGCAAATTTTGATTCAACAGGAAACAATACTTCTCCAGCTATTGAAGGTTTTATTTTTTCATCTTCCACTTTTATTTCAAAATCATCAGATTCCTCCATGTTAGACATTTTCGATTAGCAGATAGAAAATGGAAATTATCTTATGTTCACCTGATTGAACCTCATCTGCAAACTGCTACCCGAGCTGCTACCCTACCAGACGATTTCACGAGGTAAGGTAAGATTTTAGGCACGATTTTTAGGTTATGTTTAGATTTTAAGTAGCATTTAGGTTAATGTGCTTGGGAAATTCTTCGTCTTATTTCTAGTTTTCGAAATATCATTCACTTTATACGACCATACCACAGTGTATCTGAGGCTCAATGAGACTGAGACACGCTTTTCTAATTTCAACTGGCCATGATGCCTACTGAAAATAATGGCCGGAACCGGAACCCATTTTCATTAGATACATTCCAAGGATTATTTTTTTCACATTTCGATAAAATGTGACGTCTTCGTTATTTCAACCAATATCAATGCTTAATTCTAGTCAATAGTTTGTTATCATACTAAATAATTTGTTAGTAGAAAATTACAGCGATAACTTTTTCACATTTGGATCTTCGTTCGAAAAGGGGCCCATATGGTTATAGGTTATACACGGTAAACATTTTTGAGTTGATTTTAATTCCAGAAGTGCACACAAGTTTGTGTGAAATTCAGGTCCACATCAGATAAATCATTCCAGAATTACGTCATTTGACAGGTTGATATTATGTCATATAAAACCAGAATAAGTGGGATCGTTTATCCTTGGTTCTAGTCTAGTCGTTATCTATGTCGTAACTGAGGTCGTAACACTCCATCGTAACTCATGATTCACAGAAATGTTTCGATTTTACTCTATCCGCCCCCCCTGCATATTTTTCTGGCGGCGCCTATGGTGTCAGTGCAACACTAGGTCATCGATAGTGTGACACTGATTTTACCAATAGAACTTACTTTGAGTTTTTTTTCAAATTCTAACCACCTAACTTTCAAAATAAAATCTTCGATAGGTTAAATATTTTGTCGTTTTGTCAGTAGATTTATATATAGTTGTACGTCAAAATTGAATGTATTTCATTACATTATAATTTCTTATTAAAAGTAAGCAAAACGTTTGACTACTCAAAATTCCCTCGGCCAGAAATCTTTCTTTGCGCGTATGTTCCTGTGCACCCAAACTCTTTTGAAATAATTGAACTGTGTTGTGAACATTGAGCTGAAGTCGGGAATGTTAGATCTTTCGGTGACTACTGGAAAATCGTAAGTATTAGGAAAAGTAATAATTTTGGAATTTCAATTCTAGGTAATTTTACTCTACGCATATATAGTACCTACCTCTATGTCCTATATCATAGATAATTAGATAGCCTTCCAATCATATTTCATCTGTATACTTTTAAACTAATACTGATGGATATGCTATATATTGTACGTTAAGGCATAGCCGGACGTCCGAAAATCTGGAGATTTTCACTCGGTTTTTCTTTTGGAAAAAACATCAGATTGTGGGCTATCGGCTATCTTCTGTTACCGAACTAAATCATATTTTGATTCACGACAATAATATAATATGATCCTGATCAATTATTCTGGTCACAGAGAGATCTCCAGATCTGGTCGTAAAACCATCCTTATATACTTACACTATGGGTAAAACAAAGGATAAGTAGGTAACACTCAGACCTAGAGAACAGATTAACAAACTTTAGTTTGTCAATAAGTATACCCAAAAATTCATATAATCTAATAGAACAGAATATTAATATTTCTGGCGTTGAAATAACTAAAATATATACAGGGTGAGAAACAATAAAGTTGATGATGGTGGCCGGGAGACGAAATATCAGTTAGCAAATCTGAAAGCAACATTATGTAGTAGAGTAGGGAAAAATGACAATGCAAAAATTCAGTTCATTTTGATATCCTATAATAAATAATAAATAATGAATAAAGCCAGAAAAAATGAAACCAATTTTCCGAAATTTCGAATTTTTTGGGATACCTCCGGACATACTTGGAATTTCGAAACTGTCTAAACGGCATATCTTGTTAGTAAGGTGAATGCGCAACTTTGATCAATTTAACCATCTTCGCTTCTCTTATATAGTTAATTCCGAGATCCCAATGGTAAGATCGAATTTGAAACACACCCTGATGTATATCCATCTATATTCCGAGGCCTATTTGATTCCGGTCAATCCCAATAGGTGTATTAGGTATATATATATACTAGGAGACGTACAGTGATCTTCAGAAAACATGTCGCACATGGACGATGATAGCATTCTTAATAACTCCGGAAATAAGAGCGCTGACACCGTCCAACGGCGACAAGATCTCTGAAGACGACTGGACCTCTGGTTAATACATCAAATAGATTATTGGTTATAGAAAAATTGTTCGTATCTGATGTACTTAGGTATAGAAGAACTTTGATTATTATTTCTTAAATAACGTGATTAGAATTTGAATGAAAATCTAGGTGAAATTTAAAGGCCTCAATAAATTATTGTCCACCACTCCTTTTGTCCGCATTATGTCTAAATGCTGTTGGCGGCGGGATAATGCGATAATGGTCACGGACATCATAAGTCTCCTATAAATATTACACCTACACCCCTACACTAGAGTCACTGGATTGTATTATTTAGATAAGAGTTCGGACGCAGCTGAACTTCTGTCCTTTTCTATTTTCTATATTACAATACACTGAGAAAAAAAGATGGTAGTTATTACCAAACGTTTAGTAAAATAGGCGCCAGTCACAACTTTCATCAAATGATACCACTGCAACATTATATAATACTATACTATATCAAATATTACCACTACAAAATAGTATAATACTCATAGTTCAGTATAGTACAACTTTGTAGTGGTATTATCATTATCATTTCTTCGTGATAATACCTATACAAAATTCATTCATTTCCATTCTTCATATAACCAATCCCCATATTTGGGGGGATATTAGGGACATGAAAAAGAAGCTTGTTGGATACTGTTACAAATTTAAAACTCAATAAAATATCGTTTGTGTCGCCTCTTTTCGTCATAATGCCTTTCGGAAATCTGTTGCAAAAACGCATCCTGCGATTAGTGAGAAGAGTTTTTCATTTGGGCAATATTCAGTAGGAAGGTATAGATTATTCTAGGACGTCTCAAGATCAATTGACTATGCTAAAAAAATTCACTGAAATTCACTGATATTGCATCCGATCATAAGTTCATAAGTTCAATAGGTAGGGTGGAGACTCGCTATATGAAAAATCGGTCTTCATTTTCAGTAACCTCTTCGGAGTGTTTTCAAGAACAGTAACTTGACAAATTTTCTTATTGATTTGAGAAAAATGCAGGCACCGTACACGTTGTGATACACATACCTATAATAGGAATTTTGAGATATTTGGGGATGTTCAACCCCTTGAGGATCATCATCCTACGATTTACAACGCGTCGAAGGTTTGTAATCAATTTTTGAGGAGTTTTGAGAAACATTCAGGCACCGATCACGTTTTTTTTATGTTTAATATAAATATTTTGTTATTTAGGGGTTTTTAACCACTTGGGGATGAATACTTTGGATGTTTCAATACGTGAATCATCTGTAATAAATGTGTACCCTTTCAAAAAATTTATTTTTTGAAATACAAAATGTGTGGTGCAGCTTGAATCAAAAGCTAGCCCACGCCCATTTCCAGGAAAACGGGGACTGTAAAAAATTTTTTGATTGGGACGCAAATTTGTAATAAATGTGTACAAAATTCTGAAATATTTTTTTTTGCGTGTGCCATAAATGCTGGTGCATCATCTGCAATCAGATGATTTGCCCCAAAATGTCACTGCGTTTAACAAATTTTTCTATCAGGGAGTCTAAAAGAAAAATCCAGTAGCTTGTCAGTGACAATTTGTTTGAAAAAATGTTTGATGGAAAGAAATATAGATATATTGAGAAAATATCGAATTTTTACTTATCTTTGGACGTTTCGGGACCGAATCTGCTCCCGTTCTCAACATGCTGTAAATGAAAAGTGTCAAACTATAAGCAGCACAACTTTCAAAGAGAAATATTTTGCTAGTTCCTTATTGTATGTAACACTGCACCCGAATAATAAAGTTTAAAACATAAAGATTGTTTCGATTTTCCTTTTGCTGCATTCATTTATCATGGATAAATTTTGAATTTGTATTGAAAACGCCATATTCATTGATATTATATCACGTTGTTATTCACTCGATTTCCTCAGTTTTGTTCTCAAATTGTCAATTTCATTTCAAAGTTTTGCAATCAATTCCTCTTTCTCTATGATAATTTTGTTCTGCATTTCGTGTGATGATAATGTTGGATTTCTTTTTCAATAGTTTGTGTTGTAGATCAATGGAACAAGCAGATTCTCTTAAACGGATCTTATAAATCTTCTGTTTGAAAATGTGCCTTGAATATAGTTTCATTTCAATCTGCTGTTATGAGAAGTTGATTCTAATGTATGTACTCACCTCACAAATTTTGCTTGTCTTCAAATTTATTTTCTATTCAGGCCGTTTTAGGTTAATCGAGGAGGTGGAATATTCATTTGTCTGAATTTTCGGGATTTTCTCTACAATTTGCACATTTGGATAATGATTCAAAGGACCCCGCACTAATATCTGTTCAGTATACAGTCTGTCCAAGATAAGGTTGAACAGCATGGGGATCTCGGAAACGGTAGGAGATACGAAGTCGCTTAAATGGGGAAAAAGTTGCGCATTCGGAGGCTCATATCAAGAGCCTTCGAAAATTTTAAAAATTATTTTTAGTTTTTGAGTTATATTGAAGAAAGTGAATTTTTGGAATTTCTATTTTTTTTCTCCGTTATTAAGAGATACAGAAAAACTGAAAATACTTTTTCCTAGCAACTTTTGATGACGTTTAACGTGCTGATACCGATTTTCTTATGCGACGTTTAGTATCCGTAGAACCATCATCAACTTTTGTTTTTTAAATATATACGGTCCTGATAATTTTTTCACAGCTTCTGGAAGGTTTTTTTATTCTGAATTCAATCATGTATTATACAAGGTGATTCGAATGTGTTTCGACCTATTTCTATCTATCATCAATGTTTTTTCGAACTTCCATAGGAAAAGAGCCATCAGTTCCACTTATTTCTGATCATTTAGTGTCAAACTTGATGGATTAGTTATTCAATACTGAAAAGTGAATGAAAAATATTTCAC